TAAAAACCCATCTTTTATGCAGAAAGAGTTTAAACTGAAATGTATATTTAAAATTACGAAATTATAAGTGGAAAAGTTTGTAATGTTTTCAAAATTATCTTTGCTGAACTACCTCTATCTAGCCTGGAGGCTAGAGATGGAACTTAACTATCCACTTAAATTTATATCTATATATTTGTGCAAAGTTAAAAACTTGTAAATCTAATAAATTCTCTGAATCAATGAAAACAAAATCATTATTATCTGGAAAACTAAATATTGACCAGGAGGACGGTCTTAATTATTTTGATATATGAAATATACAATGTAATTTTTATGTGGGGTTACATTTGGAATTTCTCTACATTTCATATTCAGTAAACGGATTTATTATAAGAACACTGATTTTTTTTAAAGAATGAATTTAATAAGTACTTGTTTTGAAATTTTGATTTACAGATCATTGTTGCCATCTGCTGGTTACAGAGCTTAATTGCATTTTTTAAAAATCTCCATTGCTTTACTTAAGAGACAAGGGAAAACTGAGGCAAGTTCTAGATATCCATACTGGATTAGGGAGCTCTATGTAAGACAAATAATTTGCAGCCAGGTACAGTGGCTCATGGCTGTAATCCCAATAGTTTGGGAGGCTGAGGCAGGAGGATTGCTTGAGCCCAGGAGTTCAAGGTTGCAGTGGGCACCACTACACTTTATCCTGTGTGACAGACTGAGACTATCTTAGTAATAAAGCCAAATCATGAGGCATCTGTTTCAAAGAGGATAATGCCGGAACGTGTTGCATCATATCTAATTATAATGTGCTGTTTTAATTGTCAATTCATCAAAGACTAATTTATCAAGCGGACTGCTTTAAGTTATCGTCATTAGTTAGTGTGCAGCTAAAACGTGACTCAAATAACCATTCAAAATAACAAGGTAAAAAAGGTGACCACCGATAGAGAAGCTGTAAAAAGGTGAAAACATCCGTGATTCTATTCAACGGCGAATAAAACTAAGTGCCATGATTTCCCTCTCACTGACAAATCTACTCCTCTCCTTAGTAGAAGTAGATACATAATTATTTAGCCAACTGCCTTCCAGTTAATTGATGAACCTAACCTATCACTTGATGACAAAGAAACCAAGTGAGCAAAATATCAATTGGAAGTATTGGCAAAAACAGCAATTACATTTGCACCAACCTAAATCACTCGTGCACTGTAGGATGTTCAATCTAGAACATAATAAAGGAACATTTTTTAAACCATGTGCCGTGTTTTAGATGATTTACAAGCATTAATTCCTTCAATCATACCATCAGTAAGACAAATATACCTGTCTTCATTTTTCAGATGAGGAAATTAATCCTAGAGTGGCTAAATTACTAGCTCAAGGTAATCCATTGGTAATCTTCCTACATGAGTCCCCTGTGTATAAGATTTAGAGTGGCACATGGCACATAGTTAATTTTATGTGTTTACTGAACATCTGAATCATAAAATATATCCTGCTTCCCTTTTCCTTTATCTCTGTATCATGACTATTTCGCTGTATCATTAGCTATCCATTCAAAATGACCTTAGTGGCTGTAATCCTTCACTATATGAGTGTTTCATAACTTAGTGTTTGATATTGAGGCCATTTCTGTTTTTTTAATGATATAAATAATAGTACAATGAACATTCTTATAAAAAGATTTTTTAGGCCGTTGCGGTGGCTCACGCCTGTAATCCCAGCGCTTTTGGAGGCCGAGGCGGGCAAATTACGGGGCCAGGATTCGAGACCAGATTGGCCAATATGGTGAAACCCCGTCTCTACTAAAAGTACAGACAAAACAAAACAAAACAAAATAGCTGGGCGTGGTGGTGGGCGTCCGTATTCCCAGCTGCTGGGGAGGCTGAGGTAGGAGAATCGCTTGAACGTGGGAGGTGGAGGTTTCAGTGAGCCGAGATGACACCACTGCACTCCAGCCCAGGCGACAGTGCGAGACTCCATCTGAAAAAAAAATTAGTTATTATTTTTTAAGTGGTTAAAAATGAGCAGATTTGTACTTTCAAGGGCTAGACCACGGGTAAGAGAGCATGCTCTATCCTACCCGGACACCAAGTGATACAAAAGGCAATTGGAAATTCCAGAATAAACCAAACTGACTAAAAAGAAAACAGTCTCCACTCCATTTATTGCTCAAAAAAACATTAAGACAGTCATATTTTAAAATAAGGTGTTTTCAGTTTGCCTATCCATTCAAGAATATATTCTTATCAACCACCATAAGTACCTTATATTTTAAATTCCACATTGGACAGATAGGATTTATTAGATATTAAAACTTGGGCAAATAACCACATCCCTGATGCTTGGTTTTAAAATTTGCATATAGTTATTGCACGAATTGAGAAAACATTTTGAGCACCAAACATAATGCCAGAATGTGGAAATGCTCCTTGAAAAAAATCTCACAAAACAAAAACTTAACAGTAATAGCACTTAATGAATTTAAATGAGTGACAAGATGAATAGTACTGTCAGTTAAGTGCTCCGGACCTTCAGAAAAAGCATAATTAATATGGGCTGGAGAAATGGGCTCGGGCTTGGGAGGTGATAGCATTCGGATGGACAGGGAGAAAAGCATGTGAAAGCCAAGAGGTGGCTTTTCCATACGAGGAAAGGAATTCAGCAGTTACTGTGTCTCGGGCTGTGAGCCTTGCTTGAAACGACTGGGATGGAAGATTTGTGTCCCAGGAAGTGGGAAATTAACGTTGAACAGGTATTTTGGGGCAATTATTGAAGGCATTGATGAGCAAGCCTAGGCCTTGATTTGTGGGCTATGCGGAGCCGCGAACGTTTTTGTACTGTGCTGCATCAGGAAAAATTAACCTGGCCACAGTGAGCCGTGATTTAGGCTGCTCAGTTGGGATACCGGAGTTCAATTTGATCAAACAGATGGGAAGTGAAGCGGTGTGGACTCCAGCATGTGGCCCGTGACAGAGGACCTGGCAAATGTCAGTGGCCCCAGTGCACCCGTGCCAGTTGCTGTGACCTCCTGTAGGGCTGCGCGGTGACTGGGAGGCTACGCGCTCCCGTCTTAGTGGGTCCTGGCTGGTGTCCGTTTTAGGAAAGTGCCGAAAGCGCTTCAGCACACCGCGCCTAGGGCTGACGACTTCGGAGGAACCTTATTGGAACATCGTTTTGCTTTAAGATTCAGTAAATGCTGTCCTGTGCCAAAGAATCGGCATCCAACTGAGGCTCTGGGGTCAGACCCACCGGACTCACGCCGGCTTTGTCACGTGTTGTCCGCAGCCTCGGCCCCATCCCTCCGCGTTGGCAAAGGGCACTGAGTGTACGTTGCCCCCGATCGTAGGGGAGCAGAGACTTTCCTAGTGACCCGCGCACCGCAGGCGGGTCGGAAAGTCAGTTGGCTTCGCTGGCTCACTTCCTACTGTCATTTCTTTTAGCTGAGATCTTCCCCTTTAATACCTTGTTAATTAGCGCGTAACCTTTTGGTTAAAAGGTCAAAGCTAAGCCTAAACCCGAAGGAAAGAATTAAAGTACGGGAAGTTCTTCAGACTTAGTCGCCAGCAAGCTTAGGTCCCCAGTCGGTGCGGGGGCGGAGCGCGGAAAGCGATTGGTGGAGCTGCGCCCACTGGGGGTGTGGCAGGCGCCGTGGAGCGTGTGGGGAGGCCGCGTGGAGCTGCGCCCACTGGGGGTGTGGCAGGCGCCGGGGAGCGTGCGGGGAGGCCGCGTGGAGCTGCGCCCACTGGGGGTGTGGCAGGCGCCGGGGGGCGTGCGGGGAGGCCGCGTGGAGCTGCGCCCACTGGGGGTGTGGCAGGCGCCGGGGGGCGTGCGGGGAGGCCGCGTGGAGCTGCGCCCACTGGGGGTGTGGCAGGCGCTGGGGAGCGTGTGGGGAGGCCGCGTGGAGCTGCGCCCACTGGGGGTGTGGCAGGCGCTGGGGAGCGTGTGGGGAGGCTGCGTGGAGCTGCGCCCACTGGGGGTGTGGCAGGCGCTGGGGAGCGTGCGGGGAGGCTGCGCGAGAGGTGATGGGACTGCGCGAGTGTGGGTGGAGGCTGCGCGCATGGGAGGCTGTAGGCGCTGGGGAGCATGTGGAAGGACTGCTTGGAGCTGCGCGCTCGGGGGGCTGCTTGCACAAGGAAGCGCGTGAAGGGGGCTGCGCCAGAGGTGATGTGTTCTGCGCGAGTGGGGCTTGGGAGCTGTGGGATGCTGTACGTGGAGCTGCGCGCAAGGTGGGGGCTGCACGTACAGGCCTGGGGACTTCGCGCACCGGGGGCTGCAGGCGCTGGGGAGCGTGTAGCGGGCTGTGCGTGGGGCTGCGCTCAGGGCACGCTGCACACGCGGGGAAGCGCGGAGGCGGGGGTGCTGCGCGCACTGGGGTGCACGTGGGGGGACGCGCAGGGTCTGCCCGCGCGACTGGCTTCGACCGCACGCCCCCCACCCCACATTCCACGGTCGCCATGACGACCAGGAGTCCCGCAACGGCGGCAGGGACAAGTCGTTGAGGCCGCGAGGCGAGTCAGGCCTTTTCGGCCCTCGCCGGACTCGGCTGGCTCCCTCGGAACAAGGGCTATGAGAAAATGGTCGGGCAAACGAGGAGTAAGCTCAGAACGACGGCTCCAGAACGGGCTCAGTCTTCCCGCCCCTGCCAGTCGAAGCGGCGGTGCGGGGCCTCCGGAGCCGAGGAGCCGGAGGTGGAAAGGTCGGGGCTGTCTCTTCAGCCTTCGACCCCAGGTGGCGGGAACCTGCCACGGGGCGCCCGAGGGTACTCGCCGCGGAGGAACCGAAATCTGAGAGCGCGAAACTGCTTGCAGCTGGACGCGATCGCCAAGACCCCACTTCTCGGCCGCTTCCAGTTGCTCCGCGGTTTCCTGGCGCAGCTCCGGGAAAAGGCGCAGGAACTGCAGGCGTGTAGATTCTCCAGAAAGACCACTCTCTGCATCGGTGAGGAGAGGGCGGGGGAGCCCTAGGAGGGAGCCGCAAGGCGCTTTAGTTTCTTTCTTTTTTGGGGGGGGTATAAAAATTTATTATACATAAAGAATATTACCACTAACAAATGCAGACAGGCTATGACACCATGGTACTGGGTGGAGGACTGCTAGCTCTTTGGAAAGTGAAAGGTTTGGGTGGCGTGGGCCTCATGCCACGCTGATTGGTTAGTAGACGGAGGGCACATGCCAAATGCCACAGGGCACCAGGGCAGCAGGTGCCTGCTCTGAGTGCCCACAAGTGTTCCCTGTCTCATCTGGGCCTTCAAAGGGAGCACACCCAAAAGCGAGCAACGGAAGCGAAGGGGTCTCCTAAGGTGCCCCAGGTCTGTCTGCAGTCACAGCAACACCATTTTAAGCAATATGTTTAATTGGATGATTTCCACAAACTATCCACGAAGTATCTAACCGTCACAATTCAGTGAAATACAAAACATGAAGTTACAGGCTGTGGGAAGAGAAGGCAGCACCAGGGGTGGCACCTTCCAATCCTGGTGGTTCTAGGGGCAGGGAGAGGGGAAGGTCTTCTTTTTAAACCAAGCCCCTCATTTCAATGTACAAAAGAATTACTCTGATCGATATTAAATTGCATTGAAAACAAAATGGACTAAAAAGCAAATACAGCTGTATGGTGGGGTGGAAGTGGGAGGAAAGGATGAGTCCTTCGAAGCAGGAAGGGAAACAGCAGGGGGGAAGGTCCTGTGCCTGTGACCCTGAGCGGTCCCTCACGCTGCTCCATTACTTTCGGTGGTCTCAGGAAGGTCCGGCTTTTCTTCTCTTTCTTCCCCTTTGTATTGGCTTGGAAATTTCGCCAGCTGCCTACACTTTTCCTCAAAGTTTTTCTGCCACTCTCTCTCGTCTGGCTTTTTCTTGAGCTTCGATCTCTTCCTCCCTTTGTCCTTTCCTTTCATGCATCTCTGGCTTCTCTCTCTCTCCTTCTAATTTGCAGCTCGGCAGAGTTTCATTGTCTGTTTACATACAGCTCCTTTGAAGGCTCAGGATCATCCTCCTCTACAATCGTAGGTTTCCTTCCTTCCTTTGATTGTTTTCTTTCGCTCTTTCACAGTGTGTTCCACGTATTCCTTCCCTGCCTGAATTACATCCAGGGCCCTCTTCTTTTGCTCCTGATCCAGTGGCGACTTGTAAGCTTTGTCCACAGCTTCGCAAGCCTTTCGTGCTCTCTCAGCATCATCTTGATCTTTGTCGGGGTGCACCGATATGGATAACTGCCGAAACCTCTTTTTCATGTCTTCATCTGTAACCTCAGGATCTATCTGAAGAACCTCCAATGGGCTCACAATGAAGTGAGAGGAACCAGGACGGGTCAGTGTTTCAGTCTGATTTTTGGATGTTAGAACCGAGTCTCTCTCCTCTATTTGTTTCACCTCACTGTGGAAGGTCACAAACGCTTCCTCTGTGCTGCCTCCGCCGCCCGAAGTCCCGCTCTCTCCTGAAGCCGCCCTTATCCCCGGCCAGCCACCACCTTCAGAGGTGACATTGATAGACAGGTTGCCGGGGTCCAGGGGATGTGCTTCGGTCACAGCCTGGAGCTTGGAAAGGGCATGTGATAAGCCCTTCGTGCATTTAGAATACTGGCATCATTACACCATATCATCTTTTCTTCCCAGATGTTGTATATTGGGTGAAGGGAGGGAGGGAGAGACACAGAACGATTTTGAGCATCTTTGCAAAGCCGGATGAATTTGGTGGTATATTTGACCTTTTCCTGACATATTATCTTAAGACTGTTTGCCAGTGTATGTAATTGTTAGAATACAAATTAGAAATAGGATACAAATGCAGTTGGATAGGATAGTTTCTGTATATCTTGAAGTTAGTGAACCCTAATAAACAATTAACGAGCACCTGTTTCAAGTTGAGAGAGAAGGTATGAGGTTTAGTTTCAGGATGGTTCCAAGTATATTAGATAGAAAGAGTTAATATATGTAGCAAATATATATTTTTTTCAATAAAGAGCCAAAGAGTAAATATTTTAAGCTTTGCCACATACAGTTGAAGCACCAGCTGCTTCTGCTTCATTCTTACCAGCCTTTTAAAAATCACAGCAATCGTGCTTGCAGGCAGTCCAGAAACAGACCATGGGCTGTACTTTGCCCATCCTGGTATAAAACAAATAAATATTCTGAGAAATATTTAAGATAAGCCCAGGACAGTTAGTAATATGGGAAAAGATCTGGAGAGGCATGGTTGAGAATTTCAACATTGCAATTTTAATTGTTTTTACATTTAATTTCTTCAATAATTATTGAATTAATTTTTATTTATTTTGTTAGCCAAGTGGAATAATTTTTGAATTTTTGTGGTGGTTTATAAGATGACGTGCCAAGTATATTTGGGACAGCCATAAGAAGAAATACCACTATAAAACATCAGAAAGGAGGTAGGACTTCTGGAATAGACAAGTAAATGAACTCCTCCATGATGACAATGAAAATACTTGGAAAATTATCAAAACCATTTTCTTCAAAACTTTGGAAATTAACCAAATGGTTACAACAGTCCAAATGGCATTAATTCAAGAAAAGCCGCTGAACCTCTATAAGAACAGCAAAGTTTGTGGTGTTTTAACTTGTTTTATTTCCCCCCCGCCTCTTCCCAGCTCCATGGTACCCTTGAAAACAAGGACTTCCCCAGCCAACCAAGGGCACAGACTGCGTTTGCAGCTCTGTAAAACCTTCCTACCCAGAGCAGTGTCTCCCAGTTCTCTGGTGAGGTCTTATGTATGCATGGGGCATTGGCTCGGGTGACTCCAGGTTAGTCTCCTAGGCCATCTAGTACCTCCTAGGTCTGGGAGTGTGCAAAGAGCTTGCAATTCATCAAGGGTTGAGCTCCACAGCAGGGCTTTTAGTTGTGCTGTTGAGGAAGTGATTGCCTGCATTTAGCCGTCTTCTGATGAATGCCAGGGAAACTGACCTAGAGTTGCTCCTCTTGGTTAGAACTAGCTGACGCGTACTGTATATATTTACTTCTTTTATAATTTTTATAAACATTTTATGTAAAGGAATAGAAAATAATACTAAAAAAAAAAAACAACAAAAAAGGTCACAGTCATCCATAAAGCCATCACTCTTATAAATTACCTGAAGTAAGAAAACCCTCTCAAGTCTCTCCTTTTGCTTGTCAAGTGCTGCTGCTGAGAGGTAAGCTCTGTTCAGAATTTCCTTTGTGTCCTGGATTTTTTCCTATACTCATAGCGACAGGAATAGCTGGCCATCTTGCTTTGTGCTGTCTTTCTGGACATATAAATAAATACATTTGAAATACTTGCTTTAAGGGTAAGTTATAGCAAAGCAGCTTTTAATAACTTCCCTGTTTTTTCTTTTTCCAGCTGCCTTTGTAGGAATTTTGCACTGGTAAGATTTCATTTCAGTTTGAAATATTTAAAAGCATTTTAATTAAAAATTGCCATCACATTTTGCATGAAATAAAACAACTTCTGGCTATAGTTGTTGAACATCTTTATATGTACTAATGTATACATATATTTTGCTTTTTTACAAACCTCATATGTTAAGGAGCATTTACAAAATAGATGCGTTAGGGGAATAGTAACTTATGAATTAAAATATTATGCTTTACCAAAGAATTCACCACACATTACTTTAAATATCTAGCTTCTTAAGCATATTTTACATGTGTAGTTCATTTAAAACACTATTTTATGGTAATTGTATGTTGTTAGTGAAATAACTTTTCTTTTCTTTTTTTTTTTTTTGAGACAGAATCTTGATCTGTCTCCCAGGCTGGAGTGCAGTGGTGCGATCTTGACTCACTGCAGCCTCTGCCTCCCAGGCTCAAGTGATTCTCATCCTTTAGCCTTCCAAAAAGCTAGGATTACAGGTGCGTGCCACCACACCTGGCCAATTTTTTGTATTTTTAGTAGAGATGAGGTTTTACCATGTTAGCCAGGCTGGTGTCAAACTCCTGGCCTCAAATGATTCACACACCTCAGCCTCCCAAAGTTTTGGGTTTACAGGTGTGAGCCACCATGCTCAGCCAGTAAAATAACTTTGGTGATAAAGTTTTAGTAACACCTGCCAATTGGAAATCAGGTGAAAAAGAAGATAAAGATTCTGCAGTGGTTACACAGAATTAAATGGCTTTGAGCCTTTCAGTGTGCAAGCCTGCATACATTATTTTACAAAAGTGTTATACAAATTTGTAAAATAATATTTCCCTCGGGAATATTTTATTTTTACCTGTGCTCAGGGATTTCTACCCTTGGGAGGCCTGTGTTCTGCTGGGACAGTGCTGCTCTAGCCATTTAGGCTGCAGGGAGATTTTGATGTTAGCACTGAGGCTGCAATGGAAGGGAATATTCCTGCAGCTTTTGGTACCCTGGCATATGTCCTACATATAAAGAAGCGCTAGTGGAAAATAGGGTTAATATATGGAACTGTGCTTTATTTTCAACTTCACTGGAAAGTACTGACTAGGTTTTAGCTATAGCATAAATGCCACCCATAGCTAATTTTGTTTAACACGTATGCTCCTTTCTTCACTGCCTATAGCTGTTGAGTTTCACTACTAAAATATCTTCAAGTACAGACCTGTATTCTTTGGCACTTGAAAGTCGATCCTTGTGTGATATTATACTTATTTATTTATTTATTTTTGAGACGGAGTTTCGCTCTTGTTACCCAGGCTGAAGTGCAATGGCGCGATCTTGGCTCACCGCAGCCTCCGCCTCCTGGGTTCAGGCAATTCTCCTGCCTCAGCCTCCTGAGTAGCTGGGACTACAGGCACGCGCCACCGTGCCCAGCTAATTTTTTGTATTTTTAGTAGAGACGGGGTTTCACCATGTTGACCAGGATGGTCTGGATCTCTTGACCTCATGATCCACCCGCCTCGGCCTCCCAAAGTGCTGGGATTACAGGCGTGAGCCACCGCACCTAGCCTGATATCATACTTATTATAAGTCTGCTTTGATCTGAAGTAATTTTATTTAAAATTATATTCTGAATTCTTTTTCAATAGCTATGGAGGTATTTCCCAAGGCTGGTACATTAGAATCCCTTGAAACTTAAAAAACACTAACCTGCCTCTGTTCTGATTTAGAGGCCTGGAATGGAAGGAAAGGTGACAAAAGCCACAAGAATTTTAGATGTAAAATTAAGTTTTTTTTTTTTTTTTTTTTTTTGAGACAGTCTTACTCTGTCGCCCAGTCTGGAGTGCAGTGCAGTGGCATGATCTCCGCTCACTGTAACCTCTGCCCACTGGGTTTAAGCAATTCTCCTGCCTCAGCCTCCCTAGCAGCCAGAATCACAGGCATGTGCTACCATGCCTGTGTGATTTTTTTATTTTTAGTAGAGACGTGGTTTCACCATGTTGGCCAGGCTGGTCTCAAACTCCTAACCTCAAGTGATCCTCCCACCTCGGCCTCCCAAAGTGTTGGGATGACAGGTGTGAGCCACCATGCCCGGCCACAATGAAGTTTAAAGGCCACTGAGTTAAGGAATTTCAGGTGTGTGCTACACTGGATTGTAAATGCCTAAAAATGTACAAGTTAGTAAGCAAATTATAAAATCAGTAGGATAACAAATTATTGTTTTCCTTTTTGTGGCTTTCTTACTTTGCTTATTGCTTAGTGATTTTAGTGTTGCTTTTGAAACCTGTCCTGATTGTAATATGATACTTCATTTTTTTCTAGGATACATTTAGTAACACTTTTTGAAAATGATCGTCATTTCTCTCACCTCTCATCTTTGGAACGGGAGATGACTTTTCGCACTGAAATGGTTAGATTTCTTCTTCTAATGAATGCATTTGTGGTTCAAGAATAGTGAGAGGATGAGGTAGAAATGTATTAGGAATTGAAAGGAACTTTTGGTGAACTGCGCTGTTTCTTCAGCTATAACCCAGGTTTATTATTTAAATAGTAAAATGTTTGAGATTATTTTTCTGTTATTATTTCATTATCTCTCCCCCTTTCCTAATGCAGACTGCTTTTTAAGATAATAAAGATGAATTATAATATCTGTGGAAGGAGAAAAAGGAAGGCACTGAGGAAGTGATGGAGGGGTGTCAGATGAGACGGTATCAGAAGTTGCTTTCTCTTTTGCTGCAGTTGGGAGATCCCATGTTACCTGGGTCTTTTAATTATTGTTATTGTTAATTCAGCTCTCTTTTGATTTCAAGATAATCTCTTTTGAGAAATAACTTTTGATATAATTTTTAAATAATTTTCTGGGTTTTTTTTTTGATACCTGGTCTTTGAAATGGAGTTTTCTGCCATATTCATCTCACATAATTATTGTGAAGAGTAATTGGGATAGTGAATGCCAAAATTGCAGAATTTTACATTTATGAGACCACAACAGTCCATCTTCCAAATCTGCTTGCAGCTGGTTGGGGGCCTAGTAAAGCATTGTAACTGGTTCTCCTCACTCTAGCCATTGCTTTTTGTTTAAATTGTGATAAAATTTAAATTTAAAATTGTAATAAAAAATTTGAACCTCTGATTATCATTTAAGTGTACGACTCAGTGACATTAAGTACGTTGGTATTTTCTTGCAACTATCACCTCTGTCCACGTTCAGAACTTTTTGCTATCCCAAACAGAAACTCTGTATGCACTAATCACACCCAACTCTATTTTCTCTCCTATGAATTTGCCTGTTCTAGGCCCCTCAGCCACTGCTTTTTATTTTCATCCCTATATTGCCCCTATAATGTTTCAAAGCATTGGTTACATTAACATATGTATGACATTTGAATATTTTAAAGGTATTTCCAGAGAATATAAATTATTATTAAATAAAGGGTGTAACTGTGGCAGAGTCTGGACTTCGGTTGACAGATTGCTGGATTCTGATAGCAGTTCTGTGCTTTCTTGTACGATGGCTAGTCAGGTAACCTCTCCAATTCTCAGTAATCTCAGCTGCTCAATAGAGGTAATGCCAACCTTAGAGGGGTTAAGGAAAAATGAGGAGAGATAATGAGTGACATCACATGGTGGAATACTTGGCATAAAACAATAGCTGTTATTAATAACTTATTTATATATTTGCTATTTCCCTAAATATAGACTTTTACATATTAGATATCCTTTAATTATTGTATTGCCTTGTTATCCTCCTAAGCAGAAAGGAAAATTTTTTATGAACTCGTATTTTGCCAATCAAAATTGGCAATTATAGGCCATTAGGTAATGGCCTTTCAGACATCAGCTGAAACAGACCTTTAATTTAGTAGTTACTCATGTTGCTTAATCTATTAAGAGTTAAGGAGTTGGGTGAGGCAGGCATAATTATAGCATATAGCATTTTTTAGTGGGAGTGCATTTTAAACAACGTGGCCCTTTATTTGCTTTTAGATTTTAGGAATGAAGGCAAGAAATAGATGGGGAAATAAGACACAACATGCTGTTGTTAATCCACAAATTTTAACTCAACAGCACTTCTGCTATCCTAGTGAAGCCTTTATTTTATATCCTCAAGTGTAAGACACTAAAAGAACCTGCTTTTTAGTACATAGCGTTTGTGAGCAACAATAGTCAATCGACATTTAGCTTTTGCTTTGCACGGAGCCATTAGACAGAGCTATGAAGTAAGCTAGAAGCCCTGGATTCCTTGATTGTGATGCTTATGGTCATTATATTTTATTTCTTAAGAGGACAGGGAAAAAACTAATTTTCTGTATGCAAAGTTGTACAGAGGCATGAAGGCATCCCTGTTTAGGATAGAATTAATCATACGTCAACCCTCAAGCATCTCAAATGTGGGGGATAAAACCAGATTTGGTAAAACTAAATGTATACTGCCTACATATTTTAAGACATTATTAGAAAAACTCTTTAAATCATTTGACTGTCCCTCCAACTCTTTAGTTTGAAAGCCTATAGAAAAAGTGAAAGAATAGTACAGTGATCACCTGAAAATACATTCCTCTTAAAGTCCGAGAATGCAAAGGAGTGAGGAGTAATTAGGAAGTCTTACTATTGACCTTTTTGGTTTTTTTTTTCCAGAAAAAAAGTGTTCTAAAGAAATGATAAAAATAAATATTTTCAAGTTTTGATTACATTGAAAATATGTGCCTTTTTTTTTTTTAAAGGGACTTTATTATTCCTACTTCAAGACCATTATTGAAGCACCTTCATTTTTGGAAGGACTGTGGTTGATTATGAATGACAGGCTTACTGAATATCCTCTTGTGATTAACACAGTGAAACGCTTCCATCTTTATCCAGAGGTGAGTCATAATTTAAGACAGATAATACTTGCAGAGTGATCCTTTTTATCAGATAAAAATAGTAAGCACAATGTTGTTAAAAAAGAGAGGGAGGGACCTTTCAGGTTTATTAATTGTGTGTACCCTTGTGGTTGAGCAGAATATCCTAAGTTCCTCTCTTACAGTTTAAAGATTCCAGAAACTGTTCTCGTATGAACTCAAAGAATGAACCTTAGTGTGTAAATAATGGCCAGGGTAATAGACAAGCCAGATGGGAAAGAGGGTCATGGGAGGCAAAAAGATTCTAAATGAGGACGGGCTTTTGGCTTTGGAGACCTTGTAGGTGGGCATGGTGACCACGTGAAGGGATAGTGAGAGTGATGAGCTTGAACAGTGGTCCTGGAGTTACGTTAGGACAGTAAGATTTATTTAGATTTATGACTGTCTTCTAACACTTAGTCTAAAAGGGTATGGTTTTCATAGTAGTCTGTAAATTCTAGAAATTTGAAAAACAGAGACAAAATTAGCGAACTCATTTTGTGAACTCAAGATAAATGCTAAATTTGACACCATGGTAAATACTATTGAGTTTAAAGTTGTCTCAGAATCCAGCATATTAATTAAATGTTACTGCTTTTTAGTCCTTTATTCATATTTATATAGCTTTAAAACTTAATTCCTTTAATTTTGAAATGCTTAAAACTGCAGAGACTTAAAAATTCAAATATGTGTGATCAACCATCTAGAATAAATGCTAATCTTTGTCATTTTTGCATCAGCTATTTTAAAATAATTAGAATATCATAAAACAGTTAAATCACCTTTATCCTGCTTCTAATCCAACTTATACCTTTATTAAAATTTGAAGTGTATATCCATCCAATCTCTGTTGTCAGGGATTGTTTTATTGTGTGCTTTAAGTCCACATAAATTATTCTCATACTGAATGTGTCACTGTACGATTTTTACTTCAAAGTTGTATTTTTGAACTCTCTGTGTGTGTTATATATATATATATATGTGTGTGTGTGTATATATATGTGTGCGTATATATATATTTCTTTAATTTTAACCATTTTATGAATTCTAAAGTTTATGTATTCCCCAAACTTAATATATTATTTCCAGTTTTTCGATTACAAGCAACTAGAGAATGTACATTTTTATATGGTTTTCTTCTGTATATGTGCAATATTTTGTCTAGGATATATACCTAGAAATGGAATTGCTGTTATAGAGTGTGTGCCTTCTCAGCTCTACCAGATATTGCTAAACTGCTCTCTGAAGCAAATGTAGCAGTTCACACTATGCCTAGAATTTTCTTATATCCTTATTAGATTTTGCATTATCAGACCTTGTGATTTTTACTCTTATAATGGCTGTGATATGCTTTTTGTTTTATTTGTGCTTCTCATTAAGATTTTTTTGATTATTGTATTTTTGAGTTCTGAAAATTTTGACTTTCCTTTATGTTTTCTATTTTTCTATTGACACGTTTTTTCCTTCCAATTTCTATTTTAGGTTCATGGGATATATGTGTGGGTTTGCTATATGGGTAAATTGCATGCAGTGGGGGTTTGGTGTATGAATGATTTTGTCACCCAGGTAATAAGCATAGTACTCAATAGGTAGGTTTTCAGTCCTCACCCTCCTCCCACCCTCCATCCTCAGGTAGGCCCCAGTGTCTGTTTTTCCCTTCTTTGTGTCCACGTGTACTCTCAGCTCCACTTATAAGTGAGAATACACAGTACTTGGTTTTCTGTTTCTACATTAATTCACTTAGTGAACTGGCCACTAGCTCCATCCATGCTGCTGCAGAGGACATGATGTCATCTTTTTTATGGCTGCATAGTATTCCATGGTATGTATCTACCACATTTTCTTTATTCATTCCACCATTGATGGGCATTTATGTTGATTCCATGTCTTTGCTATTGTGAATTGTGCTACAGTGAACGTACATGTGCATGTGTCTTTATGGTAGACTGATTTATATTCCTTTGGGTATATACCCAGTAATGGTATTGCTGGGTGGAACGGTAGTTCAGTTTTAAGTTCTTTGAGAAATGTCCAAAGTGCTTTCCACAGTGTTTGAACTAGTCTACTTTACCACCAGCAGTGTATACGCATCCCCTTTTCTCTATAGCCTCACCAGCATCTGTTATTTTTTGACTTTTTAGTAATAGCCATTCTGATTGGGTTAGTGTGGTTTTGATTTGCATTTCTTTAATGATTAATTATGTTGAACATTTTTTCATATGCTTATTGGCCACATGCATATCTGATTTTGAGAAGTTCGTGCTCACGTCCTTTGCCTATTTTTTTCCATGTTTAAAGAAAGTGACATTATTTTATTACTATCCACAGGTGAGGCCTGCATGATGTGGTGGGAGTGCTGGGCTCAGGAGACATGTGGGCTGTGAGGAGGAGATGATGATAGAAAGGCTGGAAGAAAAGGGTGGGTTTGAAGGCCAGGCCCAAGGGGTCCTTGAGGAAGGAGTCATTGCAAGCCACAGCTAGGCCACCAGTCAGGTAAAGACATTCTGGGAAATCCAGCTGCCCATCACTGTTGACATCCAGTTTTTTCATCGTGTGGTCAAGGCCACTAGGGTCCTTCGGGTTCTTTGTGAAGGCAGCCAGCTCTGTATTCATGAACCTTAGGAACTCCATCTTAGAGACAGTGCAATTGTAACCATCCTTTCCAGCAAACTTCTGGAAAACAGCAATCAGGGATTCAATGCACCACTCAGTCTCTGCAGGGCTAGAGATTTTTGCCATGTTGGAGCTGAGCAAGTCACGGAAGGCTGTAACTGGGAGTGGTGCGGAGTACCCATTTTTTAATGGGGTTGTTTTTTACTTTCAGTTTGTTCCTTATAGATTCTGGATATTAGACCTTCATCAGACACATAGTTTGCAAATATTTTCTCCCTTTCTGTATGTTGTCTGTTTACGCCCTTGGTAGTTTGTTTTGCTATGCAGAAGCTCTTTAATTTAATTAGGTTGCATTTGTCAATCTTTGTTTTTGTCGCAATTGCTTTTGGCCTCTTCATCATGAAATTTTTGCCAGGGTCTATGTCAAGAATGGTATTTTCTTTATTTCTTTTTTTATTACACTTTAAGTTCTGGGGCATATGTGCAGATCATGCAGGATTGTTAACATAGGTATACACATGCCATGGTGGTTTGCTGCCTCCCTCCCTTGTAACCTACATTAGGTATTTCTCCTAATGTTATCCCTCCCCAATCCCCTCAACCCACTGCTATCCCTCCCTTACCTCCCTCACCCCTCAACAGGCCCCAGTGTATGATGTTTCGCTCCCTGTGTCCATGTGTTCTCACTGTTCAACACCCACTTAGGAGTGAGAACATGCGATGTTTGGTTTTCTTTTCTTGTGTCAGTTTGCTGAGAATGATGGTTTCCAGCTTTATCCATGTCCCTGCAAATAACATAAACTCATCCTTTTTTATTCCTGCATAGTGTTCCATGGTGTATATGTGCCACATTTTCTTTGTCCAGTCTATCATTGATGGGCATTTGGGTTGGTTCCAAGTCTTTGCTATTGTAAACAGTGCTGCAACAAATATATGTGTGCATGTGTCTTTATAACAGGACAGTTTATAATCCTTTGGGTATATACCCAGTAATGAGATTGCTGGGTCAAATAGATTTTCTATTTCTAGATCCTTGAGGAATAGCCACACTGTCTTCCACAGTGGTTCAAATGATTTACACTTCCACTAACAGTGTAAAAGCATTCCTACTTCACATCCTCTCCAGCATCTGTTGTCTGCAGATTTTTTAATGATTGCCATTCTAACTGGAGTGAGATGGTATCTCAATGTGGTTTTGATTTGCATTTCTCTAATGACCAGTGATGATGAGCTTTTTTTCATATGTTTGTTGGCTGCATAAATGTCTTCTTTGAAAAATGTCTGTTCATGTCCTTTGCCCAATTTTTGATGGGGTTGTTTGTTTTTTTCCTGTAAGTTTAAGTTCTTTGTAGATTCTGGATGTTAGCCCTTTGTCAGATGGGTAGATTGCAAAAAATATTTCCCATTCTTTTGGTTGCTGGTTCACTCTAATGATAGCTTCTTTTGCTGTGTAGAAGATCTTATGCTTAATTAGATCCCATTTGTCTATTTTGGCTTTTGTTGCCAATGCTTTTGGTTTTAGTCATGAAGTCCTTGCCTATGCCAATGACCTGAATGGTATTGCCTAGGTTTTCTTTTAGGGTTTTTATGATGTTAAGTCTTGTTTAAATCTTTAATTCATCTAGAGTTAATTTTTGTATAAGATGTATTTTCTGTGTTTTCTTCTAGGGTTTTCATTGCTTTAGGTTTTACATTTAAGTCTTTAATTCATCTTGTGTTGATTTTTATGTATGCAGAAAGGAAGGGGTGAAGTTTCAGTCTTTTGCATATGGCTAGCCAGTTATCCCAGCATCATTTATTTACTAAGACATCCTTTTTCCTGTTGACTTGTTTTTGTCAAGTTTGGTGAAAATCAGAGGATTCTAGGTGTGTGCACTTATTTCTGGGCTCTCTATTCTGTTTCATTGGTTTATGTGTCTGGTTTTGTGCTAGTACCATGCTGTTTTTGTTACTGTTGCCTTACAGTATAGTTTGAAGTTGGGTAGTATGATGCCTCTGCCTTTGTCCTTTCTGCTTAGGATTGCTTTGGCGATTTGAACTCTTTTTGGTTTCATATGTGTTTTATTTTATTTATTTCCAACCTTATTTATGGTGAAGGAGTATCCATATAAGTTTTATAATAGTTTTCCTGATTATGTGAAAAATGGCATTGGTAGTCTGATAAGAATAGCATTGAATCTGTAAATTGCTTTTGGTAATATGGTGATTTTAACAATATAGAATCTTCCTATCCATCAGCTTGGAATGTTTTTTCATTTGTTTTTTTTTTTTTGTCTCTGATTTCTTTCAGCAATGTTTTGTAATTCTCATTGTAGAGATTTTTCTCCTCTCTGGTTAGCTGTATTCCTAGGTATTCTTTTATAAGTTTTTTATTACTTTTTGTGGCTATTGTGAATAGGATTGCATTCTTGACTTGGCTCTCAGCTTGGACATTGTTGGTATATAGAAATACTACTGACTTTTGTACATTGATTTTACATGCTGAAACATTGCCGAAGTTTTAATATCATATCTAGGAGCTTTTAGTCAGAGACTATGGGGCTTTCTAGGTATGAAATTATATTGTTCACAAAAAAAGATAGTTTGAATTCCTGTCTTCCTATATGGTTTTTATTTTCTTTCTTTGTCTTGTGTGATTGCTCTGGCTAGGACCTCCAGTACTATGCTGAATAGGAATGGGGAGAGTGAACATCCTTTTGTTGTTCCAGTTCCAAGGCCAATGCTTCCAGCTTTTGCCTATTCAGTATGATGTTGGCTATGGATTTGTCACAGAGGGCTCTTATAATTTTGAGGTATGTTCCTTCAATGCCTAGTTTGTTGAAGGTTTTTAAAATAGAAGGATGTTGACTTTTATCAAAAGCTTTTCTGCAATTATTTAGGTTTTTTTTTTATTTTTATTTTTTTTTAGTTCTTTCATGTGAGGAATCATATTTATTGATTTGACTGTGTGGAACCAGTCTTGCTTGCCAAGAATAAGGCCTACTTGATTGTGGTGGATTAGCTTTTTGATGTGCTGATGGATTCAGTATGCTAGTATTTTGTTGAGGATTTTGCATCTATGTTCATCAGAGATACTGGTCTGAAGTTTTCTTTTTACATTGTAGCTCTGCCACGTTTTGGCATCAGAATGATGCTGGCATTATAGAATGAGTAAGGAAGGAATCTCTCCTCAGTTTTTTGGAATAGTTTCAGTATGATTGGGACCCACTCTTCTTATATGTCTAGTAGTCTTAGGCTGTGAAGCCCTCTGGCTCAGGGGTTTTTCTGGTTGGTAGGCTTTTTATTAGTGATTCAATCTTGGAACTTGTTATTGGTGTACTCAGGGTTTTCATTTCTTCTTGGTTCAATCTTTGGAGGTTATGTATTCCCAGGAATTTAGCCATTTCTTCTAGGTTTTCTAGTCTGTGTGCATAGAGGTGTTCATAATAGTCTCTGAGAGTTTTTGCATTTCTACAGGTCAATGGTAATATCTCCTTTGTCATTTCTGATTGTGTTTATTTGGATCTTCTCCACCTTTTTATTAGTCCAGCCTGTGGCCTATTAAACTTATTTGTTCTTTCAAATAACCAACTTATATTTTTGCTGATCTTTTGTATGGGCTTTTGTGTCTCAATTTCATTCAGTTCATCTCTGATTTGGTTATTTCTTGTCTTCTGCTGGATTTCAGGTTGGTTTGCTGTTGTTTTTCTGATTCCTCTACATGTGATATTAGGTTAACTTGAGATCTTTCTAGCTTTTTGAAGTGGGCATTTAGCACTGTAAACTTTCCTCCTAACACTGTTTTACCTGTGTTTCATCGATTCTGGTATGTTGTATCTCTTTTTTCATTAGTTTCAAGGAATTTCTTGATTTCTGCCTTAATTTATTTGTTTACTCAAAAAGTCATTCAGAGCAGGTTGTATAATTTCCATGTAATTGTGTGGTTTTGAGAGATGGTCTTAGTATTGGTTTCTGTTTTTTGCTGAGATTTTCTATTTCTCGGGTAAGCTTCTCAATTTTTCCATTTGTTTTAAGCATTCTCATTAGAGTATATTTATGATTGTTGCTTTAAAATTCTTGATAATGCTAATATTACTTTCATCTCAGTGTTGGAATCTATTTATTTTCTCATTCAGTTTGAGACCTTTCTGGTTCTTGATGAGTGATTTTCACTTGAAGCCCAGACATTTTGAGTATTATGTTATGAGACTGGATTTTATTTAAACCTGCTATTTTAACTGGATATCTCTGGCACCACTCTAGCAAAGGAAGGGGTAAAGGGAGAGGGCACCATCCTGTTGCTTTCAGGATCACCTGAGGTCAGGAGTTCGAGACCAGCCAGGCGAACATGGTGAAATCCCATCTCTACTAAAAATACAAAAATTAGCCAGGCGTGGTGGCAGTCACCTGTAATCCCAGCTGCTTGGGAGGCTGAGGCAGGAGAATTGGCTTGAACCCAGGAGGAAGAGGTTGCAGTGAGCCAAGATCATGCCACTGCACTCCAGCCTGGGCAATAAAAGTGAGACTCCATCTCAAAAAAAAGAAAAAAGAAAAAAAAAAACCGAGGAGGGTGGAAGTTTTGCTTTCCACTTGGTCTTTGTTTATTGGTAAGGGTGAAACCATATTTTTTTCCCCCTCTGGCAATTAGTTGGAGCAGAGAGATGATAAATCTAAAGGTTTTCTGTGTTTCTAGGCTGCCCTTTTCTAGTCTTTTGACTTTCTTGGTACTTTCTGTGTATTTTTCTTAGTCTGTTTTCTGCTATTTGAACAAAATAGCTAAGACTGGGTAATTTGTATAGAATAGACATTTATATCTCGCAAATTCTGGAGTCCACGGAAGTTGAAGGCTGCTCTCTGCTTCCAAGATGGTGCCTTGATGTATCTTCTGAAGGCGAGAAACACTGTGTCCTTACATGGCAGACAGTAGGAGAGCAAGAGAGTTTTAATCTCATTTATGAGGAAGGAGTCCTCATGGTGTAGTCACTGCTTACAGGTCCCATCTCGTAACATTATCACATTGGCCATCAAGTTTCAACACCTGAATTTTGGAGAAGATACCTTTAAACAATAGCAGTGCCCGTTGGCATATCCGGACTGCCAGCCTCTTTAACTCCAAATCCGAGAAAATGAGGCACAGAGAGAGCCCATGGAACTCATAACCATGTTGTTCTTTGGGTCTCAAGTCTGTCTTCTCTCTACTTTTCAGAGTCTTCTTATGTTTGATTTGTATATAACTCAAAGGGTTTTCAGTTGTACTTGAAGGGAGTAATCAGGAAAAGTACATCCACTCCATCTTCCCAACAGCAAACATTTGTATTACTTAAATATTTATATATTGTATTTTCATTTTCATTCAGTTCAAATTATTTTCTAACTTCTTATGTGATTTCTTCTTTGATCCGCTGGCAATTTATAATTGTGTTATTATAGACACAGGGAGGGGAATAATTAACTCACTGGGGCTTGTAAGGGCAGGGCAGGGCAAGGC